TTTATTTGAAATTAAACTAATTGAAATTTCTGTCGATCTTGATTCTTTTTCTTCTTTTTTTTTTTTTGAGGCCACATGGTCTGGAATTTAGTTTGAGCTGCTATTTGACGTGATATTAATTGTGTATTTTATTTTATGTTAATTTTATATAAATTTGTTAAATCATAAAACGTCTGGATTTCTGAACGCAATTAACAGTAAACAGAGCGATGTAATGTCTTTGAATAAGAAAAGATTGTAAAAGAAAATTTCTAGAAAAAAAATATATTCTATATATTATCAGGGAAAAATTTTTATAAAAATGATCCGCAATATTCTTTTTGCCGTCTTCAATGAGAGCACATAGAGCTTGATGAACGAAGTCAAGTGCGAAACAACTGATGCCCGAAGCACGCGTACGTGTAAATTGCTTATCAATCGGATTGATTATAATCTCTCCGGCGCGCCCCAATAGACAACATTGCTAGCAACTCGTCGAGGGTCGTTGAATATCCCGCACGGAGATCAAACGAAATGGACGATGCCGCTTCTTTATTATACACTACCTCGATGCGGGATCGGAATTACGGTGCGATGCGAGCTTTCTTGTCTTCGCCGGTACCGTTCCTCGCCGTAATCACGTTGTATTATTCCGCTTTATCTTCTCGCGCTTTACTCGCACGATCGATCTCTGCAATCTCGCACAGCGCTCCGCGAGAAAAAAATTCGCTGTCTTTAAATGACCGATGAACAACCAGCCGATTTAACTGAAACGCATCGCTCTTAAAAGGAGAGAGAGAGACAGAGAGAGAGAGAGAGAGAGAGAGAGAGAGAGAGAGAGAGAGAAATCCGTATTATACATTCTCGTCCGTCTCGCGTGCCGAAAACGTATCGATCCCAGGCAAATTCAGCGATTGGCAAAGGAAATTCGCATTGCTCCACAATCACGGTACCGCTAGGCGTTCAGCCGATGCCGAACCCGGAATTGATTCGTGCGGATCAGCGTCGTGTCGAAATTACGGCAAATGGAACGGATTCTGCAGTCGCGATCCTCGATACACGAAGAACGGCAAGAGAGTCATTATCTTCATCATCATTCCGGCACGCGTGATCTCGCGCCGGTTCTCCCACGTAAGCCCACTTCGGTCGTCAGATGAGTAAATTGTTCCCGATGTATTGTTGCACCGTACGAACTAATTTATGTGCTAGAATCAAATTCGATACAATTGGTATCGAATTTGACTCTAGCGCATAAATTAGTTCGTACGGTGCAACAACACAGCGGCTTCCAAAACAGTAGCTTCTATATAGACAATATATTGCTGTTATCTTTGTTAAATTATTACCAATGCTTAAACTCGCGTTGACGCGCAAGTACGAAGAATCGTCCGAATGTTGCTAAAGATAAAAAAAATCACACATTTGTTATCTTAACTTGACTGTAAAATAGCGTTAGATGTTAAAATTAATTGATACGATACGATAAATGATGAAAAATGAGAAACTATCGCAAAAATTCATTTGTGTTCAATATTATGATATTATAAATTTTTGCATAATTTGTATTGGCTCTCTGTATATATTTTTAAAAGTGTACTAATCGAGTAAAAATAATTTTCTAAACTCTGATAATTCGATAATTTTATATGGAGGGTATATATATAAAAAAACTTCACGCTGAAATGTTACGAGAAGTTACGAAGTTATTCGCGAAATTATCTATCTATTTAACGCCGAACAAAATTTTTGGAAGCAGGTGCGAGGTCTGATGGATCTCGCGAACAGTCTCGAGACGCAGATCTAATAAATAGTACCTCAGTCGTATAGAGCAAAAAGGCAAGCTTGACCAGTTTCTGCCCGATAACCACCGCCGCGGCGTATCGACCGGTGCAACGCGATATTTATGAATCGGCAGCTATTCATTTGGTCCGCGGAAAGGATTGACAAGTGAGCATTACGGGCATTAGAAAGGAGGCGTGGACGGCGGCGTCTATCTCCCAGGATACCGTCGTCCGGCGAAGGATAATATCAGCTCCCGAACTGAAGCAGATGCGTGTTGCGAGCGGGATGCATATGGAAGATGCTAAAAAAAGACGTTTCCCGCGAGAGCGAAACGTCTCTCTGTTCCTCCCTTCGCAGGATCCAGGGGCAGGGACCCGTATCTCTCAACGATCCTCGGTGATCCCTAAGTAAATTAATGTCTTCGAAGCGCTCCCTGGAGGCTGCTAATAATAGTATCGCATCGAGAAAATTAAGCGTCTTTTACTTGAGATTAATTATGGCTTTTCGAGCGAGCTTGTAGCCGTTCACTTTCACTTTGTGACAACCCTTTGTTCACTTGTACTCTTCTGAGATATAAAACAAAAATGCACCGCATTGTTATTATCGTATGGGAATTTGAGAACTTTTGCAACTGAGAGAATGGTTTTACACGACTTGATTATAATTATGCAACGTTAATTTCTTTACATAAAAAGATAAGAAAGTATATTATGATGATACATTGGTTAAATATAAATATAAATCTTATGCGCATGTAATGTTAAATAAAATAAAATAAGTAAACGTATCTCGGCATATCTTAAGGAAAAATACAAGTTTATTTTATTATTCTTTACAAATAAGAGAAATTGTTTTACTTATTAAAAAAGTCATTTGTGTGAAATTTTACTTGAAAGACAATGGCGCATTAAATCGGCGTTGAAAAATGTTTCTGCGGCGAGCTCCGCCTTACGTCTTGAAAACGTGTTTAATAATTCAAATGCTCCTGCAGGCGTATTTGTATGTAAATTTAAAATAATACAAGAATGAAGAGAGTCTACGTACATCGATCAAGCGAGCATAAGCTTAAGACGAGCCGGTTTTTCAAACGGTCTGATATTAAAATATGAATAAGTAAGAGTAAAACTGCTTAAAATTAAATTTCCTGATTTTCCTGACACAAAACAAAAATGAAATCGAATCGGACAAGTCTTATCACGAAAATCTCATCTTTAAATTCACCGAAAGCAGATGAAGATTCATTGACTACTGAAGTAATCCTCGCCGAAGTATATTAACTTGTTTAACGAATATTAGTGTTTAACGGAACTTTTGCATCTGTAAAATTTATTAGTGGCTTGTAAAACTCGCGATAAGATTCGAGCGATAATACAAAGCCGCGCCTCGCACGTGATTCATATGTCGGAGGGAGACTTTAGGATTCGAAAGGAAACCACGGGGATCCGCCACGTCGTACGTGCATTCGCAAGTAAATTAGCTGCATCATTGTCTGCGCGGACGGACGAAAGGAAAGGAGAAAAAATATCGGCTGAATGTAAATATGATAAAAATCCGCGCGTCATCCGGTTGACGAGAGTCGAAGAATGTTCCTCGAGGCGTCGCGATGCGGCGATGTGACGACGGGATCTCTTATGCGCAGCTTTGCAAAATCATTCTTCGATATCGAACACATAAGCCGCTTATCGATCGGTTCGTTCGAGATTAAAAAACCGTCGCTCTTGATCCCTTCGGTCGATTCTTTCCCGATTTCAAACTCATTTGTATAATATATAAACAGCGAAATATAACTACAAACGGCGATAACAGTTAATTAACATTTCCTATTTTTCTCAATTTTTTTATGATACATGATATTAATGATATTTATAATTATGATGTTGATATTTGCAATATATCATGTAAAATATTGCATATTTATGAAAATCAATTTACCTCCGTAAATCTCAAAAGATAGATATGCAAGCAAATTGTTAGCTTGCCGCTAGAGCTTAAAATTATAACTGAGATCTCAGTGCCTAGTGAAAATAATTCTCGCAGCTGCTTTGCTTCAAGATTATTCTCCAATATCAAGTAATTAGACCACCTGTGGTGAAAATGCGTCGCGTGCATGCTCTATTCTACTCTGTCTTCTTCGTTTCCTCACTTTTTCGTTTCTTCTTTTGTGACTCTTCGCATCGTATGATGCTGGCAATTCGTTCGACTCTTAATTTGTATATGAATTGAAATGAACGAACACGTAGCCACACAATGTTGACAAAAGCGAAGAAACTTGATCACCAAGATCATCTGACATAGAAAATGCCAGAAATATCACGTGGAAACGCGATAAAATATGTAGACTCGCAGTTTTTGTGGTCGAAAAATAAATACATAATTAATCGCGATAATTTGATGTATAAATATGATGCTGAAATATATATATTATCTGGTAATAAATCGAAAAAATCTGTTAAAATTAAAGTTTATATGATCAAAAGTTTAAAAGTTATTATTGATTGTGTTTTATATATATTAATATTAATAATATTCGATAACTTTAAACTTTTATATAAGTTGCCTTATCAAAAACCAGTTTACAGACGTTTTTGAAATTCCTTGTAATTAATGTAATAATATTGATATTTATCTAATGATTTTTGGCAGCTGATTCATAATCTTTTTTTGCAAGAACTTGATCTTTTTTGCATAAGAGCTATTCACCGCTAGATTGTTCTTTAGAATTGCCACCCCCTAATTACTCCCGATAATTGATGCTATTATTGGCCGTCAAGAATCACTTCCGAGTTTGTACAGCAAGAAAATCGCTGGAAAAAAGCATCTGATCGATCGATCAAGTGTGCAATTATTCCTTCGATCCTCGTCTCGAACATGTACTCTGCCCCTATCCATCGCTATAGCTGATTAATTAACATTAATTACGCCAGTTATGGCAGCAACAACTTTATCCGTTCTGACTGCTCGTCTGAACATGTCTATGAGGATGAAGATTTTTGCTTGACTATTTGACCTTAGTAAAAAAGACTTATTTTTAGATACGTATACGTCATGAAAATGCAATATGTTTCGCCGTATTAAGTATATAAATTATATAAGATATTTGCGTATCAATACTTTATCAAAAAGTCACTTAATCAAATCTTTAATGCTGTATTAATTTTTTGTCGAAATTTTTTTCTCACAATTTATTATTTATGTACAGAAAGATATTTTACATATCTTTCAACATATTACATGTACTCTTTTGCATACTATATTCGATATTCCTCTTCTTCCAGGCTTCACTGGTACTCAATGCGAGATTGACATAGATGAGTGCGCGCTCAGGCCGTGCATGAACGGCGGCACTTGCAGCGATCTCATAAACGCCTTCAAATGCACCTGCGCCGAGGGTTTCACCGGCACCCACTGCCAGATCAACATCGACGACTGCATCTCGTCACCGTGTAAGAACGGCGGCACTTGCCAGGACGGTATCGCGAAGTACACGTGCGAGTGCCCGGCCGGCTTCACCGGCGACTCCTGCGAGACCAACATCAACGACTGCGCCTCGAATCCGTGTCGCAGCGGTATCTGCATCGACGGCGAGAACAGCTTTACCTGCAACTGCTCCCCCGGCTTCACCGGCAAGCTATGCCAGACGCAGATCGACGAGTGCGAGAGTAATCCGTGTCAGTTCGGCGGTAGATGCGAGGATCGTATCAACGGTTACCTGTGCATCTGCCGACCGGGCACATCCGGTGAGAACTGCGAGGTCAACGTTAACGAGTGCTACAGCAACCCCTGCCGAAATGGAGCCAGATGTATCGACGGTATTAACAGGTGAGCATGAAGAAACGTACATCACGATCATCGCGGTCATCGATAATTGTTGATATAATCATAGTTCTTTTGGTAGTTCTGCAAACTATTGCAGCTTTTTAATATATTATTTGTTTAATATATTGTTTGTTTGTGTGATGATTATTACATCTTTTTCTTTTGGATTTAGATTGTAACAATACTAGGCAGAATTATTTATATGATGAATTATTTATACGGGTTGATAAGTATAAGTACACTGGTGGATGGTATTGGATTTGCAGAATTAGTTTTGATTCAAAGTGCAGCAACATTTAAAATAATCCTTTGTATGAATTAATCTATTTATCATTATTGAAAACGAGCTTTTTAAGAATAATAACAATAATATGATTGAAAA